CATGTGAAATTGTTTAATATTTAACATAAACCAGAAGTGAGAAATACAATATATAGATATAAGGGGGGAGCAAAACAAAATTCCCATCTTATTGTCTTACTCGCCACACTAACCGCATGCTTTGGCACTCATTTAGTTTGGTTTTAATTCTTCTGCCTGAGCTTGTTCCATCTCTGCTTGCCAGTAAATTTTGTCTTTTGGTATCGTGCCTTCATTTAAGCAAACACCGTGTGCAAAGGCAGCCAGGGAGGACAAAGGTCTAGAGCAGGGATGGGGAATCCAATGATTCATTCATTACCAGGCCTCTGGAGAACTTCAAGACATGTTAAGGAAGTCATTTAGCCATTTAAATCAGCTGTGTTGGATAAAGGACACATCTAAAACCTGCAGGACACCGGCCTTTGAGGCCTGGAGTTCCCCCACCCCTGATCTACAGTCTGAATCAAATCGGTACAAAAAAGGGGGGAAATCTCTCAAGTTTCCTAAAGCTGACAAAAACAGCTGCTCTACAGCTCTCCAGGATGTGAGGCCCCCGAAAAGTTCTCTGTGTGTCAGCTAGTTTGCAGTAATCTAGTGCCAGTAAATCAGAAACAGAAAAGATGAAGGTTCATGTTGTTGAGGCGTTTAAAACACGGCTGTAAGATTTCAGGCAGTTTGTCTTTTACACACATTTTACAAGTGTTATAAATCCTGCTGTGGTTCCTCGGTCGATCATTAATAGTTTCACAAAGAACATGCACTGTAATGAACCGCTGATCTGTACCATACGTCATCCTTGCGGGGGTTGTCGGAACTATATGCGCAGTCGCACTAGGACAGATGTGCTCAGAGGCACGCCCCGTAACGTGTATGGAGCGGTCTGTCGCGACAGGAATAAGTTGTACAAAGTCCATTTAAGTTACGATAATACTTTGATAAGTATGATAAGTGTGTTTCTAATGTAAGATATGTTGCTGGGTTTGTATTGTGAGCTATCTGGAAACCTTTCATTCTTTACTTACGTTACTTACATCCATGTGCTATTTTTTTTAGCTTAGACATGTGTGTCATGCAAGCTAGCAGCACCCCATGAGAAACGGGCCAAAGTGTTTAAGTGTTTACCGGAGTTTGCACCCTTGGCAAGCGGACTGAGGTATGTGATGAGAGGTGATCTGTTGTTATATTTTATTTAACCGAACTGTGTAACCCCTTTTGTTTTATTTATTCTGTGACTTATGGAAGAAATATAGTATCATCAGAATTCAAGTATTTTTAGACATTGAATTTATAACACTGAATTTTTAT